CCACTTGAAAGAACATTCAGCAGAGAAAGTAAGTCGAGGGAAAACCAACATAAATAAATATTCTCGAGTCGGCTTTAAGCATCTTGTGGATAGTAAACCATCATTAGTGGCAGCAATCGCTTTGAATTTGCCTTTACAATCGTTTTTCTTTTCCCAGGTTCGGTTCTTTGGTCCGTCAACAATTTGAGGCTTCAATCGATTCCTCTTCTCCCTCCTTTTTTTTGCCACATTCTGTGGCACATAGTGAGGTTTGGTCTCGTTGTTTCCGTTTGTGCCACTTGTGTCCAGTTGAGTTGAAAATTATTGTGATTATGGTAAACTTGTTGCTCTCACTGCTGCTGATCTCCAGCTGCGCACCTGTTGCTTTTGTGGTTCAGATTCCTTAGCAGTTTGCAGTTTGCAGTTTGCAGTTGTGCAGTTTTGCTGTTTGCAGTTTAGCTGTTTTCAGTTTTCAGTTTTCAGTTTTCAGTTTTGCAGTTTGCATATGCAGATATAGAATGCACACATGCTGTTTTATGACCGCAGTTTCCATTGTTAGACTCGTTTGGCCGCTTAATTGCCGCTTTGGATTCAGATTTGAATTCTGTTTGCTCAGCTCTTTGGCACCGCGATGCTAAGCACTTGGGATGTGCAGCTGCAGCTGCTGCTGGAATTCTAAAAGGCGTGACTAATCAATCGATGGCTCAAGCCGAAGCTCAATCTTCAGCTCCAAACTCTTCCCCTTGTAAATCGAGAAATCATGCCTGATTTACTCAATATTTTCGTGTCGATTTATGAGGCCAGGTTTTCCCTTGATTGGCACTCCAATGTCGAATTCATCACCGGCTCCATCTTTAGACATTTTCATTTTTTCTTTCATTTTTGGGTTTATGGTTGGGTCGCGCCCTATTCAAAATGCAGAGGCGTCGGAGAGAGGAGAAATAATAGTGTGCCACAAAAATATTTGTTTGCCTTGCCATTGCAAGTGAGTGGGGGAAAACATGTCAGAGGCGTAGGAACAACAAAAAATTACAATCAGATATGCAAGTTAAGAAAACAACACATGTTGTTTATGTACAAACAAATATTGGATGGCTGTTTTCAACTGATGATAAGTTTATATGAAATTGTATTGGTAAAAAGAATTAAAAGTTATGCAAACTTATTTCAAATTGTTTTCATTTTTGAAGTATCAGACACTGCACTGTATTTTAAATTAAAATTTGGTAGATTTAATCCGAAACATTAATATGTAATCTTGCTTGAAATACCATCTCCTCTCGAAAGCATTTCCAGCCTAATGCAGCTGCCAGATAAATCTCTTACATAAAGTGCGTTCAGACATTCAAGTATCTCTTTTATTCCGTCCCACATCTGTTTGGCCAAAATTCGATGCTAATAACCAACGTTTTCGGCTCCAGCCAGACTTTCCCAAAAAACCAACTCGCATCTGACCTTCAAATTGTGATACTCCTGATGTTGCTGTCATGTTGCTTCTACTGCTCACGCCCAGCTAACAAAAAAAAAAAAAACAAAAACAAAAAAGTGGCTGCCATTTCACTCAGCCGAGTTTGAAGTCGAAGTTGAAGTTGAGTTCTTCACGACAGACGTGCAATCCATCAAAGTTGTTGCTGCCACCCCGCAGCAGCAGCAGCAACAACAGCAACAGCAGCAACAAGGCGAAAAAGCATAATACATAATAATATTTGTGCAAAGTGTTAAGGCAACAGAACAGCAGACAGTAGCAGACATAGTCAGACAGCCAGGAGGAGCAATCCGGTAGCAGCAGCAACAAACATGAGCGGCAGTGGAACATCTAAACACCAGGTATCCCATCCTCCAGATATTCTTTGGTAGAACGAAGGAACGAAGGGGCAGGATCAGTGGCAAAGGCCCGAGGAACTCTTTTAGAAGGAGGAGACGACGACAACGTTTTGTTTTAATTTACTCGACGCCGCCAACAACGACATTGTTGTTGCTGCTGGCTGATGTTGCTGCTGTTGCTTCTACTGTTGTTGCTGCTGTTGCTGTTGTTGCTACTGCGGTTACTGCAGTTGCTGTTGGGTTTCCTGTTTAGATAGTTTTTTGTGATTTTATGCGATACACCTTCCATGTACAACTGTTAGGCGGGGAAGTCAGGGGCTAGTCCACTTTGATGTACGTACACTTTGAAATGTTGTTGATGAGTACGCGAGATTTTTAAAAGATTGCAACGCGCAACAGCGGCGACGGCGGCGTCAGATGAAGCTGCGACTGCAAAGGCGACTCTGTTGGCTTATATAATAAATTTTAATGCACGCCCGCCCTGGACATTCCGGACAATTGGATGGACGTGGTCCGGATAGAGCTGCCAGTCTGAAAACTGGCTCACAGTGACTTTAAACTGATTGAATACAATCGAGAATTGTTTATCGTAAAAGCGTTTGCTTTTTCTATTACGAGAATGTTTTTTATGGTTAGAAAGACATATATAACTTTGGGAATCATAAAATCATATAAACCATAGATTAGTTAATGTGTCATTTGATTTATGATTTATATTTTATTTTTTTTATCTTGAATTGTAAAACAAGTTATTGGGTGTATTGCCTTGATTTATGTAAGAAATAATTTATAGGCTTGTAAACACACACTAAAACGTAATTTTTTATGTTAATTTTAAATGTGACGTTTTAAGATTTATTGTAAGATTTATATACACAATATATTTGAAGTTCTAGAATAAAATACCATTAGATTAAAACTTGTATTACTTTTCCTCGTTTAAATTAAACAACTTGTGTTATTTTAAAAACCTCAATTCATAAGAATACATTTGGAATTGTTTGAAAATAATGAAGTGCATTGTCTGCTTTATACTTTATAATAAATATCAGCCAGTTTATCACTCCACTGTGCAGCAACTGTGTCAAAACCGAAACTTATCTTCGCCCGATGTCGGTCGGCAGTTTGCCGGTGTTTTGGTTGTTCCCTCTGCTCGATTATATGTGTATATATGTGTTTGTCTTGTGTTAGGCTGACACTTGGTTAACCAACTAAGAGATAATCATTAGCTTGGCGTAATTTATGTAGAACCGGCGGCAGTTGACGGCCGAAACAAAAGACTTAGGACACGAACTTGACGTGAAAAACGTCAGGCATGCAACAAAGTAAGTTAAAGTTAAACTGAAGAATTATATCAATTAGGCAAAGGCCAGAATGGAGATCAAAGCGAGATACTAGAGGCAGAGGCAGTTGAAGAGGAAGCGAGGAGAGAGCAATTTTGGGGGCTGGACCGGGAGACGCCCCAAAAAGAGCGAGTCACTGCCAACTGGCGACCGCCAACGGCAATTATAGAGCATAAAACATCGATAATCATAATAATTAAGGATGACTGGGCAGAAAAGGGGCCGCAGGAGCTGGCTGTGACAACGCACAGTAGCCACCAGATTACAGACTCCATTGGAGATAAAACCCCGAGGATGATGCATCAAGTTGGGAACTTGCAACTGTTGCTGTTGTTGCCGCTGCCACTGCACATAAATTGTTAATTAAAGCCTATTTAGGCGGCTTCCAACCCCGAAATGTTTATTCTACGGCATTGAATTCCTTACCCACTGCCGTGATTTGTGCATTTAGAAAGTATTCTGTCCACTCGTTCGCCTTTCATTGTGTAAGAAAGTCGTTTAACTGGAAAAAAAAACCAACTATAGAACCCGGTGAATAGAACATTCTTTTCATGGCTCTCAATCAAGAATCGTTGCTTGCTAGAAAATTGAAAGCTTTTGACTGGGGAATCTATAAATCTCAATGCTCTCAAAGGGCTTATTTTTATTCTAGACCAAAACAAAAAGAAGGGGGACCCAAAAATCAACAGCAGAAACTGTAACAAATTATTTATGAACTGCAGAGCACAGTTTGCCAGTCTTTTGTTTGCCCAACAGTCGTTTTCGCCTTTCATAAATAATTCAGTTTGTTTTGTTTGGGAATTAGCAAAACTGACAAACCGACAACAATTGGCAATTTGCCTCGAATTGTGTTGACACAATAATGGAAACTGATATTGAAGTGCGAAAAGTACATAGAGAAGCTCAAAATAAAAAACGATGATTGTGTGAGAGGTTTGGCTGCTGGCCAAAAATCGAGATAAATATCTAATTAAACTTTGCTAATGAGCCGCACAACATAGTTGTGGCAAATGAGTTCAGTTTTTGGCCAACATACAAATGATTCATGGGATTTGGGCTAAGAGTAAGCCAACAGAAAACAATAAACTTGACCCAAAAAGCACGTGAATCACTTTTCTTTTGGCATAAAAAAAAATAAGAAAAAATACGTTGCCATAAAAACCAACATCAAAATAAATGACTCAGTGAAAAGAAGAGACAAAAACTGTTTGGGTTAAGAAATAAATGCCCAAATTTGCGGATGATTTATTCCTTACGGAAAAAATGTTGAGATCCTTGGAAGTCGGCCCTCATTTACAGCTTTAAAATCCTCATTTTATAACCCATTAAAGGCATGATCGCAAACTTTACTCAAGCAAAACCAAGAGCCAGTTTCAGTTTCACTGTGGCACCCATTTTCATGCATGAATTGCTAGGGAAAATAACTACAGTTATTTTCTTTTTGCGTTCGTACAATTTAATTTTCTCAGCTTTTCACTTTTCCCTGCTGCAAACATTTTTGACATTTTTTTTTTGTCATTCGTGAAGGTTTCTCTGAAGTTTTGATTAACAAAACCCAAACTGGTTGTGCAGTTAAGCAAAACCATAAAATGCAGCAGAATAAAGACGAATCGGTTTGTTGCGGTGGAAAGGTGCCTCAAAAAATCTCTAACAAAACGCTCATAACTGGAGCGTAAACGCTTATCTAACTGGGTTTTTATTGTGATATTTTCCCCTCTTTTTTTTTTTTGGGTGCCAATTTATTGACTGAGCTAATGATGATCGGCTGGCTCCAAACAGAAACGTTTCTTTGGCAGCTTAATTGTTCAACAAATACCCAAAGCTGTTAAATATTTTTACGTCTTTAGCACTTACCTCTTAATGGGTTTTCAGTGGTGACTCCAGTGCTAGAAGAGGAGGGGTGCCGAGAATTCTGCAAGGGAGAGAAAGAGAGGGGAAAGAGACTCCAATTAGATTTTCCAAATCGATTTTCGAAAACCCACTTCCTGTGGGCAACGGCAAAAGGCACTGGCGACAGCCTCATAAGCACATAAATCAGCAAACTTCATTAACACGACTGCCAAAATCTACGAATATAAATCTAAGCTGCAAGTGCAACGTGCAGCGTGCAACTTGCAACCTGTTGCCGCTGCCAACACTCTGAAAAGTACGTGACCGTTCGCTCCGGGAATAAATAACTCAATTTGGGATCGGCGCAAAAAAAGTGTTAACTTGAAATCTGGCAATAAATCAATGGCCAGGGGACTCGTTGAAGGCAGCTTGTGATTAGCACTCGCCCGATGGCTTATCTACTGCGAAAGTAAGTAATTCTTCGCTTCCCGCCTCGAGATTCCGGAAGAGTTCTTTTTTAAATAAGCATCCAAGCAAACCGAGGAACCCCAAAAAACCGAAACGAGAAACTTAAGACAGCACAACGAGATTGGGCAGCCGTCACTTCGCTTGACAGGCAATAACTTTGGCAATCTTTTTTCGCCCGCTTGCCGTTTTTGGTTTTTTTTTTCTGGTTTTTGGTTTTTGCGGTGGCCAAAATCGTTGAGTTGTTTATTATAAATATTACAGAGTCGCGGCAATTTTGCATGCCTCACGCTTGTCTCTCCCGCAGATCTCAATCTCAATCAAGATCCAATCAAATGAAATTTAAATTAGGCTGTGATCCCTTTTGACACTACTTAAAATTTAATTATTTTGCTTGAAATTGTAAAATTAATTGGCTAAAAAGGTTGGCTGGCATTACAACCTAAGGCGAAACCTGTGGCGATTTGATTCTGATTCTGATTCTGGGTCTGACTACAGTTCATTTTGAACCGTTCTTAAATCCAACCGGTTCTGATATGATTATTATGCTCTGCAACCGGTTTGCAAGGCAAACATTTTTAATTTTATTCAGTTTTATTTTGCATTTTTCCTTTACTTTTTTTTGTGAAGTATTTTGTTGGATTTCTGTTGCTTTTCGTTGGGTGGATATATTTACATTTTTAAACGTATTTGACACACATGCCGCATTTTTGCCCATCTTGAATTAACTGTAAAACTCGAGTTTATTTGGGTGAAGCTTCCGATATAATTTTTGTGATTTTCGTTTTGCTCGGCTTTTGGCTTCGTTTACATAATGTTGGCATGAAATTAATTCCGATGCGGTCAGAGATAATAGACTTTTGTCTATCGGGCTATTTATGAGGATTGTGCTTTACCTCAATCAGTGGTTTTTATTACTTTGTGCCAAAAGCTTGCTGTATTCATATTAAAATGGCATTTAGTGTGAATTACTTTGTTAACAATATGCGGTTTTACTTCAGAAGGTTTAGCTATTTCCATGTTTGTTTCACTTCCTTCTCATTCGATTGTATCTTCCGCATATGAAGAAGAGAAATTATGCTTACCGCAACTGAAAATGGCCCCCGCACACACAGAAAACGGTTTAATTTATTACCCCGGAAAACTCAAGGTTAACTTCACTTCACTTGACGTCTTTTCCTCAATGACGCGGCTTTTCCCCCGCCAAGCTTGGCCTGCCTTTTTAGCTGCACTCCAATCATTTCCCATGCGAAAACATTGCGAAAAACACACACAAAACAAAGGAAAATCATTAAAATCTTAGCCGTACGAATGTGCAACTGCTGTTGGGCAAAAAAGCGGGGAGAAAGACTTATAATATATAACCATATATAACCGACGAGAAAGAAGAGCCAGCATCTGCGACTGCGTTAATTATGTGCATTTAATGCTTTAATTAATGTTTTCTATTGAGAGATGAGACAGCGCCGATGCAGTGAAAGTTATAAACACTTAACGGCAATGAAAGAGTGAAATATTTTTATTTCGCTCATAAATATAATTCGAATGTTAATTGATAAACTTGCTAACTTGTTGTGCGTGTGCTTTTGAGTGGGCAGTGGCCAAATACATTTGATTACGGCCTGAAATTGAAATTGAAGCGGGAGAAATTTCGAGCTCAATGAGATTGTCGTGGGATGTTGAAGACGAAATGGGATCAATATGGTTAAATGGAGTGAAGAAAGTAATCTCAACGCTCTGAAAATCTGCCCATGTTTGGAAACACTTTAAATGAAGAGCAGACGTTTGAAATTTGGCATCCAAATAGTTCGAATTCATTGTTAACAGTTTTACAAACTGTAAAAAAACTGCGAAAATAAAGAAAATAAATATTTTTAGATTCTGCCTTTCCTTAAACAAATCTATAAAATATAATTAGGTCTACAACCTTATTATAGTCTGCAAAATTAATTTTGAGTTGGCTATCAAAAAGATATAAAAGAAGATATAAATAGCTGATATCGGCAATGAAACGGTAGTTTTGTTCAAAACTTTTGTCTTGCAAACGTATAATACAAATATTGTATGTGATTATAAATCAAATCAATTTATGGTTTTGTTTCCATACAAATATCAACCGATAGATAGCCAGGGCCAGCCGCTAATTTAAGCTGATGTTTTATTTATGAACTCGATTCTGAAAAGCGTTGACACGCAGAACACCAAGAAAAATGGACGGTTTGCTCTAAGGTTTATCTCTCTGGTTACAACAAACAATGGGATTTCTTTGGAGCGCTCTGGCATAAGATTTCTGTATCCATTCGGCACCTGCTTATTAGTTTCTGGTCCCATTATCCACACAGGCAGATAAAGACGGAAAGGAAAGAAATTTGCAATTTTAATGACGTTCGGTAAGGTAGGGTTTTGTTTTTTTTTTTTTGCCGAACCGAACCGCAACCTTATATAACCCGACGAGTGCGAAAAGAAACCTCTCCTACGGAGTTAGCTCATAATGCCAGCCAGCCGCACAGTTTATGGCCCAAACTAAACGTGCACTTGGCTCGGATCGCCTGGCAAATCGCAAGTCTCAAGTCGCAAGTCGCGGCTTTTGCTTTTCCTCGGCCATAAACCGAGAAACAAGAAATTTCAATTTCAAATTTTAAAGCGTCTAACTTTCGCTTTCCTCCTCAAGGAGAAGCGGAGATTTCTCGTTTCTCGACGAGAATTCCTGCGCCCGCAGTTACCACATTTTCCTACTTGGCCAATTCCAATTAGCGGATTGGCCGCAGCAACAGCAATCCACACAAACAATAAATCAAAATCTAATAAAAATAATATGAAAAATTTGTTGCATGTGCTAATGTTTCTGTTGCTGTTGCACTAATGCAACCGGTTGCAGCCCAGCCAAAAAACGATACAAAAAAATAACACCAAAACAAAAAGTAAAACCGAAAAAAAAATAGAAAAAATAGAAAAAGAAACCCCCAACGAAACCCCCAAAACAAAACTGCAAACGACAACCAGACGACGACTTTCCATTTTCAAATGTGTTTGGCAGTGTGTGTCTATATGTATTTTGCTGGGTCTGCAGCCTTCGGGCGGCCAAAAGATACGCCGGCAACTGACCACTGCAACAGCAACTAACAACAAAAGCAACAACAACTGCATCAGCAACACCAACAACATGAGCAACATCGCAGCATCGACACAACAGCAACAACTTTTCATTTCGTTTTTCACGCGGCGCATGCCAAAAAAAAAAAAAAAAAAAATAAAAAGAAGCAACCAAACTGCGAAACTAGCAAAAGATTATGATAGAGAATCGAATGGGAGAAATCGGTACAAGGACTATAACATATAGTTGGTGATTTCCTAATAAAATGTAACTGTAACTATTTGTTAAATTTAACTATTTCAATGTTAATTACATATTTGAATTTTAATGAACGGAAGTGTATATTTTGCTTTCGTGTGCTAAACCATTAGAGTTTCTTTTATTAACCACTTCCTGATAATTTTGGTTTTAAGATTTAATTACTATTCTTTAAGCTACGAAAGGTTTCTATGGTTTTTCGTACTTTGCTTTTCAGTCTATAAAAAATATAGGTGTACTAAAAGTAGTATTTGTAGTATGTAAAGACACAAATGCACTTAAAACAGATTAGTGTGCAGATATCTTAACACTTTGATCGGTTTAGTTTCCCTTTTTCCCACATTTTCTTTATCTAGATAGCGTAGACAGACTTCGACTTGGATTGAAGTCTATTGTTGTTTTTGGAAAAGTGCAAAACGTCTCGGCAACTTGGGCAATGTCTGAGCTCTGTCTACGCAGCTGGATGTCTCCACTCCACAAAAAAAAAAAAAAACTCTGGGGAGTTGTAGTCAAAGTTGTGTGGCAAGTGGCTGGCTGTGTTGACAATTTCGAAGCGCGACGACTGCCACAGTTGACCGGTCTTGCCTTTCGTGTTGGCAAATAAAAACGAAGAAGTTGCCGTGGTGGCAGGCAACATGCTGCTGCCCCTTTTACCCAGCCACTGGGTTATTAGTGGGCGCAATTTAAGTGTACGAGTGTTGCACTTGTTGCTTTTCCTTTCCACTCACACTCAATAATAATAGTAATAATTGTCCAATGCCTTTTTTGGCCAAAAAGCAGCGGAAATGCGGCTGCTATTGCACTTGCCATAGACAACTGGTTGTAGCTTTGTGGCTTTGTTAATAGTTTTGACCGCCGTTGCCGTAGCGGTTGTTCTGCCTCTAAAAACGGAAGCAAAGACCAAACAAAAAAATAAAAAATAAAAAAAAAATACACACACAAAATACACTTCGAAAGCCGCCAAAGTTGCTGTCGATGGATGACTCAAGCATAAAATTCTAAAGGGTCTTTACACTTTGTCTGCGGGTCTTTGATTATGCGAACCAACGCGAGTCGTGAATGTACTTCCGTTGAAGTCGACGTTTGTCGGATCTCTCCTATTCATCAGACAAACATATATCCGACTCTTCAAATTGGAAAAGAGGAGGAGGAAGTCTAAGTGCAACGGAAGCTGGTTAGGTGTTGAATCTCCTGAAGTTTTGTCATTAGGCAGCCTGAAAATTCCCCCATTACAAACTTAAGTTTTCCAAAAAGTTTTGCCAGCT